TGCAAAAAATCGTTCGAAAAAATGAAGTGAGAATGTTACATAGACGAGATTAATGTTTGCTGAAACACTGATGTGGTCACTACCTTTAAATGTTGTTAATGTATTAATTATTCATATAATAGACAATAGTAGCATATATAACAAAAAGACCAGTCTTACGCTTAACCTAGACGGTATGTGTCTTAATTATTTGACTGGATAAAGACAATATGTATGTCAATAACCTGTGTGCACTAATAAAATGTTATTATATTAAATAATTATTATATAAAATAATATATTATTATATTATTTATTATATATTATTTTTTTTTATTATATAAAATAATATGTAAATAAGCAGTATTGTTATATTCAACTTATTAAATTTGGTTGAATTAAGCATAATATTTTAGTTATTTTATTCACAAGTTTGCATTTGGAATATTCCAACACGGAAGAATTTTGGTAAAGATAAAAATGCTGAATAATATTCTAACACCCAAGTGCCATAGAACACACTAAAACATTCATTTTAGTTCGAAATTTAGTAATATACGAACCAAAGAAGATTTTATAAAAAAGATATTAAATAAAGATAGATAAAAGATATTCTCTGATACGAACATTCAACATATATATTGTTCATATAAGTATGCTTGAAGTAACAACATATGATCGATTTTTGTATAAAGTGCTTAATGCAACAATATCGACAACCCTACAAATCATGTAAGTTTTTGTACTAAATTTTAGCACTGTTGTATGTTTCATACACTTGTCATTTTCAATTCCTCTTTACACTACATTTCTATCTATTTTTCAATTCTTATTCGATCAAATTTCGTATTCGTCGTCGTTTGCGTCGTCGTCATTTTAGTTCTAAAATTTAAGAAAAAATCCAAGTGACTGATGTAAAAGTAAAAAATATGGCGAGTCTTGGGGGCGATCAACAAATTTTAACAAATAGTCAAACAGGTACAAATAATAATCGTTCTAATATATCTAATAATTTATGCAAATATTGCACGCGTTTATATGCGAGTGAAAAAAAATTAAATTACTAAAAATTCATGTGAAAACAATTGATTAAAGTGCAGCCTTGACGCCAGCGTAACTTACGGCACAGCAGTGTTAAAATGAAAAAAAAAAAAAACTCGAAGAGAAACTTTAATCTCATATGTGACTTATATTTATTTAAAATAAAACTGTCTCTGCTCTGTTTTAAAGAATAATTTTTTGTGTATGCATATATTTGCATTTGGGCGTCTATTTAAAAGTTTAAAAATAAATTTACGTAAAATTCCAAAAAGAAACGTCGCAGTCAACTGCACTGCATTTCACTTTGGATTTGTGGGGGTAAATTGATTTTCCTCTTGGAGTTGTGAACTTGTGTTTTTTTTTTTTGAAGTAAATTTGTCGTTGGAAAAGAATCTTATAAGATTTTCATATTGAATAAAAAATTTTTCCTATTTATGTGAAAAAAAATGAGAAACAAAGAAAGTGCAAAAAAGAAGGGAAAGTAAAATGTTGAGTCATTTTGTAAAATGTAATGTTTTCCTTGCAATATAACTAATAATGCTGCCTTCGCGATTTAAAGGAAGCCAACATAATACGATTTCAATAAAATAAGATAATTTTTCCAAAATTTAAGAAGTTGCACAACTTTCTAATTTTAATTGAACACGCGAAGAGATAAGTCATTTACACAGGATGCGTCATGCCGTTAAAATTGAATAAAATTCAGCAATTTGTTATATTTTAAATTTGTAAAATGACATAGTTATTGAAACGGAGTTGAAATAATTATTTTTCTTAAATATATTTAAAAATAATGTTATTACCAACCATTTGGCCATAATAGGTTTTTAGATAATTTAAATATTTTTTAACAAAGAAACTGTATGCAATGTCTTATTTTATTAAATATTGTGCAAAATCAGGACACTTTTAATTCAATTATAATTTTTTATAATTTAAATTACAATGTCGTAGTAAAAACATTTAAAAAATTATTTTCAAAAAAAAAAACTCTTCAAAGTGCATGTTTAATGCAGATTACGCATATCATTAAGTTTCATCAAAACTATGGTTTGAGTACTTGAAAAGCTTCAGAACAAAAAATGTCCTCTTCATTTACTTAAGTTCTTTGTGAAACATAAATAAATGATGTGCCTTCTGCCGGTTTTGCGACATGTGTGCAAAACCTTCTTCCTTCAAATAACTTACAATCGAAATGTTTAAGGTGTGTGTTAAGTCTGAAGTTGCTGTCGTGGAAGACAACGTCTTTTCTACTATTTTCTTTACAATGTAGAGGATTATTTATAGACAATATACTTAAAACCACAACACCCTACTCTATATACAATATCCTTTAATTTAAAAGTAGGTAGAATAAGTATATTGTATAGCGTGATATTTACTAAAATATACATTTTCTTATTAGAACATGTAGATCACACGCTGTTATTTTAAATATATATGGATATGTCACTGGACACAGTCCATACGTGCCCTTCTTTCTTTAGATCGTAATAACTATTATTACGATATATAATTATAGATATTACTTATTGTCATTCATACCTGACAGATTGTAATAAAATAAATGGATTTCAAAAAAAAATTAGAACATTGAACTCTTTATACGGTTAAAGATATTTAAATTTATTATTAATTGATGAATGCTTCATTTTGGGGACATGCTTATACATCAGATCAATAATATTAGTAATTCATTTGAACTTATAAACTCAAAAGTAAAATACATTTTTAACCTATTAAATTAATATGAAATTTAATTAAATGGAAGCTAATATGTTGGATTTCATATAAAAATTAATAATTATAAGATAAAATATTCATCTATACCTTCTGTTCAAAAAGTACTCGGATTTTGTATATAAAACACACAAATTTAAATTTTATTCCAAATTTATTTTATCTCCTTCAAAATATGCTCCTTCTGAAGCGATACACATATGCCAATGCTTAACCCAATCTTCCATACACTTTTCATAGGTCCGTGAAGGTATGGCTTTTAATTCCTTCAGCGAATTCTCTTTTACCGATTCAGTCGACTCAAAACGCTTACCACGAAGGGGCAATTTGCGTTTCGGGAACAGGAAAAAGTTGCACAGATCCAGATCTAGTGAGTATGGTGCCTGAGTGATGACAGTGGTGCCGTATTTGGTCATAAAAACGCATACAGCAAGTATTTTTCATAGTAAAAATCGCTAAATGCACTTGAGGTAGTCTCGCATTAACAGCTGCTGTATACAAACTAATTGACCGTATGTCAAGAAAGGGTGTACCAACATAACAAAAAAAAATTTTTTTAAAAAAGTCTATTAAGGAGTAGTTAACAAACAACGAAATCCGGATACTTTTTGAGCAGAAGGTACATTATATTGATAATTCACTTGGTTTGTGTTTTATTTGGTAACTTAAACTTAGAAAACTCCATTGAAAAATTTCGATAGAGCTACATTGTATAATGAGTTTCGCCATTTCTGGAGTATTGTATTTTTCTCTTCGTATATTGATTGTGTATTTAGAGGTACCATCTTGTTGAGAACACATATCATCTAAATGGAAACCATATAATTGATGTTACATAAAATCAATTATTATGTCTCTCTAGCATTGTCCATTGACGGTAACTGTAATGCCATTTTCATCAAATATGTTAAAGTTACACCACCAGACTATAAATCATACCCAACTGGGATTTCTATTCACAAAATATTGAAAAGCCAATTTTATGTATATATATATAATAATAAATTAAAAATCGAATATTTCACTTCTGTTTTTGAAATGTTAGAAACGAACCAATCGGTTATTTTTAGAAGTTTAGAGAACTTTTATAACTCTAATAACAAATAACTTTAATAAATAATCATGTGTAATTTTATGCTATTGCTTTTGATTCTAATCGCTCGGGAAATTTATTTAGTCTACTAAATTAGTATTTAAATAATAAAGTGAAAAGTATTACATAATATTAAGTACTATTTAATAATTTAATAATAATAGATTGAATGATGATTTTGCTAATGCAATAAGATCCAATCATGTTTAAACATGGCTTGACAGATTGAGACTGTTTGGCATTGCATGTTGACCATCTTCACACAAGTTTCAAAATAAATAATAAAAGCATAATCAACTACTGTCTTAAAGATACCTTTTTGCATGCTATACAGATGCTCACTCCAATGACATAATGTTCAGTAAAACCCTAACTCCAAGATGAAACAGTGGAACCCTTTCTTCGTATCAATCATGTTTACATCCACAGATCTTTAATATATTCTAAACTAATTGAGCTCACAATATAGCCATATGCTAAACTTGCTTGCCATACATATATGCGTCATTTCCCAATGTGCACCCTAACTGCAACTCTATCCTAAGCCATGTATACTCATTTTTAGGTCTTTTTATGTGATCTACTATATAGTTTTTCACTCACTACCATAAGAACATGAATATGTTTAACCTAAATGGTCCATTAGATATTAAAAAAATATATATTTTTTGTAGTTTCGGGATTCACGACTAAGCAAACTATTGTTATTTTGTATTAATAATTGTAATTACAATAATTGAAAATTAGAAAGTATAATGCATGTAAATATGAGCAATCAAATTTGTGATTTGCAAATTCTACCTACATATTACAAACATTTTTAATAGATTTTATTAAAAATTAGAAGGAACAGTGGTACTTTGCGACTTTTTTTAATATCCTAACCAACCTCTCCATATTAAACTATTGATTAATTTTCAAGCACCATCCATCGCAACCTTATCATCTGTTTCATTATCGCCGAATCCTTCTTGTCTAAATATTTAAACGAGTGTTAATTTGCTTATGTTAGTCAAATCAGTTAATCTTTCTGGAAAAGTACATACAAAAAATAAATGTAAAGAGGGCACTTTAAACTAAAATACCATCTTACGAGACTGGGTACACATACGAATGAAAACAGTAGATTCTGTGAAGAGAATGAGGAGTCGGCCACAAATGTGCTGTTAGAACACTCTGCGCTAATGTAAACTTCACACCAATTTACATTGTGAAGAGCTTATTTCTTAAATATTTATTAGTTATTTATCTTTTCGATTTATTAATTTAACTAAAAATGTCCATATATCTTAATATGTATGTTTATATAGTTGTCTATATATTAATGAAAGCAATCCTTCGACGTCTAATTGGTGAAGTAGAAAAAAACCGTTGATGTCCTTCGTTTCCCTAATAATACCATTCTTCAGACTAAAGTTAATAAGTTCGTAAAGAAAATAAATAACTATATTTAGTTTTGTCTATATTGTCTATAATGTGTATATTAAAAAACTGATCTCTCGATCCATTAACAGGATGTATTAATTTTCCATTGCTTTAAGAAATGCATCTACCTCTAAATACTTATATGATTGGTGTTCTTACTGCTGTCTTTCTCTCCTAAGTGGAGCATAGGGTCTCTTCAGTTTCAGTCATCTTGATACTAAAGCGTGAATTTGGTGTCTCGCTGCTGCCGTGGCAGGTGGATTAGCTGTGAACTGGTAGCCCCGTGGAGATACAGTTCCGCTGTGATTTATATTCATGTTTGTTACGAGTATATGTAAAGATTAGTTAATGAGTGATGGGTTCAAAGACTATGGTGACCCGCTTTCTTAGTGAGCTCTAGAAGAGTTCTTTGTCATCACCTACTTATTTCTTTTCTTAAGGAGCTTGAGAATGAGCTTATATACTATATTTATGTGTGTTTATATATAATTGTAAATGAATGATAAAATAAATTAATTAACTATAATTGTCTATCTGTGTATAAAATTTCATTAAACGTAATCGTATTAGACTTTAGTTCTACAACTGAACATACCATACAACACTGATTTGGTTTAAAGTGTATTTATCTTGTTTTACGTGATATATATTTAAAATGTAAAATTAATTATTTATTATAAAACTTGGACTTTACTCATTATTCAATGTATTTAAGATAATAGGATCTTTAATTAATTTTTTTGATAAAGTGAAATATAAAGCAAATTTAAAAAAAGAAAAAAAATAAACGTCTTTAGAAAGTAAATAAAATATCAAAAATAAATTAGACGGCAGTGAACTAGAAAAAAAACATTTTTAAATTAAGTTAACATTTATGTTCTTACCATATATACCGTTTGTGTACATAATCTATTATAACATATGTATGATATATGAGAGTAAATTCTTCAAATTTGCTTTAGTGACTAATCCTACATAGAGAAATACGTTTAAAACCAAATTTTTAAATTAACTTCGTTCATATCAATTACTCAACTCAAAACCTTTTACTTTTGATTTACTCATGCTAACGAATCCGAGTTACTCATGTCTACAAATCATGATGTATTTTACTTTTCCAGCACAGATGTGCAGACAATTTTTATATCTTGTGAGATTTGTAATGAGTTATGAATAGGCAGCTTGAGTATACATATTTTGTTTATTTTTATTCCAAGTTTTTTTCCCACTTTTTTCATCTTGGAATTTATATCTGAACTTGTTTAGGTTATTTATAGCCAAAATTTTCATCATGTGTTAATTCCCTTGATAAATCAACATCTTCATAAACAGATTTTGAGCTTCTTCTTGCAAAAACTTATCATATATATATCTGTATATATATATTATATATATATAGAAGAGTATTAATTTGTTTAGGATATCGTGTCTAATAATATATATTTTTTTTCTTATTTCAGCTGAACCGATTCAAAGAGACAGCCGAGAAGGCAGTGCAGAAAGAAGAGGTATATTTTTTTAATAACAGATATATTTTAATAAAAACCATTTAAGCCATTTGATAAGATCAATTAAGAAAATTATTTAAAAATCACTTATGCTAATCTTGCACTTATTGAATCATGCAAATCATTAATAGAACTAATGGAAAGCACTAACGCAACAATTCATTGGTTTGCTCAAGTGGGTGGAGATGACGACGACTCGCAAGGTAGAAATATTTTATATCCTCAGGTTTTGCTTTGCTGCATTGATGTTGTTTTGCATGCAAAATAATAAAGTTACCCGAATATTCCACAAATAGTTTAGAATAATAGGCAATCATTTTCAGTAAGAAAAATAAAATAATGCAAGTAGTTAATATTTATATAGTTCCTGTCAATTATAAAACCATTTATTTAAAATCTAAATGGTAATTTAGAGTCCATGCAAATTTTTAAAATTTGTAGATGAAAATATACATTTATAAAATGAACCCTAAAATCGTCTGCATATATACTAAATCCATTTCTTAATAACATGACTTAAACAAACCAAAAAATAAAAAAATTGCTGTTAAGTTTTATAAGATTAAAACAAATGGAAAAAGGATATAGTCGATGAACACAGGTTTAGGAATATATGTTTTAATTATCACTCACATGCAGTGACTTTCGTATCACAGATGTAAGGTATGATTAAACGACGCTTAATCGTCTTTATAGATAGTTGGCTCTAGAACATAGATTTGGCCACTTTTAAAACCACGGTAATCATCAAATTTTATTTGCCGTCTTTATCGTTAATAGACGCCTAATAATTTGATTCCAGTCAAAATGAGCAGTAAAGAAGAAAATTCGGTTGAAATAAGTTTATAAAATAATTATAATTAACATACAACAAAAACCTTATCTCAAAAATGGTAATATAGTAAAAAGGTCATAATCAGGCATAATATATCTTATAAAACATTTTAAATTTTGGTTGCTATAAAAATTTATAGCACGTCAGAAGCAAATTACTCCTAATACAGCCGCTTAAAATTTCAAACCTTTAGCAATACCAAAAAAATATGATATGTTTAATAATGAAACAGAGAAACAATATGATATATGTTTAATAATGAAACTTGAAACAAGTCTTTGAATTAATAAGAAAAAGCAGTTTTATGCCAAGATAGCTCTATTTATACACAGTATTTAATTCAAATGTTGCTGAAAGAAAATAATATTAAAAAAAGTGAAATATAACAGCACTTAAATAAGGTTTAAAGATGTATAGTAGCATATGAATCTGATTTGGCATATTTAACATATTCTGAAGAAAAATAGAAATCGATCATTCGAAGTAGGAGATCATTCGGATGGATTGACCAAATAGAAATCTTCAGGACACATTTCTACTTAATAAAACGTTTTTAAGACCAATGAAGTTCTATGCAATATTCAACCAAAAGCCATTCTTACTTTATTAAAGTTTTTCACAAAATTTAAGAAGGAAGTACATACTATTTCTATTTGTATTATAAAATATCGAATTAGACGTTGTTTATATATCAATATTATTATATATACGGATAGTGAGGCAGCTTTGAAATTTTTCCAATCTTACTAAATCTACTTGGTACGAAGTGTAAAAATCTTATTTCAGTATTGACTTTAGTACAAAGTATCACTCACCTTACACATGTCATATAGTACCAATGCCACATATCAATTTTTTCGGAAGTCATAAGCGATTGCCAAAAGCCCCAAACTCATTCGGATCAACAATAAAAATATTGACAGTTTTCTTACTGTAAATATATCAAAATTTAAGTTAGTCATTGGTTCCTTAACTGGCTTGTAAACTACTATCTTTCAAGTATTAAGTCAAATATAATTGACATCTGCAAGTTCTATGAAAAGCAGAGTAAAGTATCTATCTATCTCATTTGTTCGGGTCTTACAATTGCTGAAAGTGGATCTAGTACCTCCGTTTCGCTTTATTTGAACCAAATGAAAAGTAGATTGCATCATAAATGCAACACCGTAGCATTATCTTTTCTAATACTGAAAACGTCAATATTTTTATTATTAAAGATTTAACTAAAAATTCAACAAAAATGGCAATCATACAATACAAAAATTATGTATTCCTATTAACAAAATAATACTATCTTTTACTACTACACAGATTAGTGAAGGCTAAAAGGCACAATAACTAATAGTAGCTTTATTCTAGTAACAATATATTTATATATATATAAATTGTGTAGTTCAAATCAAGTGAGAATTACAAATGAGGTAGCCCGTATCGTTATTAGTTAAACTAAAGCATGGGGAATTCTATTATTTCATTATGTAGTTTTATATATAAATAAATCGTGTAGTTCCAATCAAGTGAAAATTATAATGAGGTAGCCCGTATGCTTATTAAATTGAGCTAATTATTTCATGATGTAGTTTTATATATAAATAAATCGTGTAGTTCAAATCAAGTGAGAATTACAAACGAAATAGCCCGTATGCTTATTAAGTTAAGCTAAAACATTGGGAATTGTATTAAATTTCATTATGTAGTTTTATTTATGTTAACGGGCCTTTTGATTTACTATATATTGGATTTATAATGAGAGAAGTAAAAAGAAATAATAGTAGAATTACTTTACTGTTACTAGTTTAAACTTAGAAATTGTAGAGACTAGCCAGAATAACTCACATATAACTGGTTGTGTGTACGAAAGTAAACTTATGTTTGATAAAATCTTATTTTACTGTAGACTGATATACCATTCCAGCACTTTTGATCCTATATGCAATATATATATATAATATAATTTATATAAAACGTCATTTTTATTGCTACAATGAATTGATCCAGCTTTTTTTCTTTTTGAACCCATTAATAATTTTTAATTTCCGCATTTAGTGATGTTTTTCTTGCAGAGCAACACAATGTGCCTAATAAACGCTGATAAAACAAAAGCTTATAATTTATTTTGAATGCATGATAGTATCATTTTACAGCTGTGAAGAAATTTTTAACATTTACTTTAGCTTACTAAATGTTATCAGAAGAAATAGGCAGTTATACATACATTCGCATGCATATCACATTTAAAAATAGTTCTATTAAAAATTGCTTATATTGAAAAATATACAATAAATTATCTAAACATTTTTCTAATATACAAATCGCAATGAGAAATAATTGAAAAATTGACCTAAAAGTCTTTGTGCAAAAACGTTTCTCAGTTCCAAATTAATGACGTAAGCTCGCTTAAACGTAGTCAAGAAAACAATCTAAAGTATTTACTCGTACTGTCAGAAATCTCACATTTGCCGGCAAGCTTAAAGTACAAACCAACTCTCATAAATTTTATACATTTTTTCTTTATTTTTATTGATTTCATTGATAATTGTTTTAAGATAATATTTTGCTTATAATGGCATACATGTGTATTATTTCACGAGCTCGCAATATTTCAATGGTTATGTGAATCTTTAGATTATATGTACACTTCGTCCATACGTACGTCAAGATAGCGCAAAAACTCTGCATTTCCCCATAGCTTTGGCTGGCTTTGCTTTTTACCTCTTACTTTGTACTCACTACGGCGCTCACTTGAATTATAATTTGAAATTCAAAATCTATGCCTGTATTCGCGTAGGTTGCCCTTTACTTTAGTAATTATAGCGCAAACCAACAACAATATTGTAATAATGAAATAATACTAGTGTATTATAACAAATTGTGTTAATATTTTCTCAGTGTAAATGCTTGTAAAATGTTCTCGTTTTATCATACTAACTTTTAGCAGATAAAAGCTACACTAATTAAAGCAGGGAGCGGCAGTATGGCATTACGTTTTCATAAGACAACCAAAATTACTTGTAAAAGAGTAAAAAATAAATACTCTGTTAATACTAACAATGATTTGCATTATGCTTAGAGTTTGTAACTAAGTTAAGGGTGAAAAAAAAAACTCCTATGCCAATGTTTACTAACCTTTTTTGTGTTATGCCCCACTTAAACCTTTCATAAATGCCTATGATTCTACGAATAATATAAAAGGTGCGCATCCTTCGTAAGGAGTGAGGAGATCGTTGAGTCTCCTCCAATGACAAGGCTATTACTCTTCCACAAATAACCAATGTGTTTTATTTTATTTTCTATCACGTACATACCTATTTTGTTAAAATCACCTGTCAATGATATGATACTACCTATTCTGTAGCATGCTTTTGCAGCAACACTCATCAATCGATACCCTTCTGTTTTTTTGGATCGGCAAAATATTCAATGCGTTTTATAAAGATCTATACTTCTCAAAATAAAATATTGTTAAAGGCGCTAATAGGTATAATATGTTACGGTTCAGAGGTATTAATGACACAGACCTCAAAAGCTGAAATTTAATTTATTCTATTACATTCTGTCTTATTATTATTATATGATCAAACTGTTGCTGTCATTGTGTCAGCATTATCCATCATGCCAATCCGTACGTAAGAACAGATCAGATCAGACACTTATACTTGTGTAGTTTCTGATTTCTGTGCATAATTTTTGAGTTGAGAAGTTTCATTTCCTTGAAAAAGGTTCTATTTGCAACTTGAACTCTATCATATATTGCTGCGGTTATATTATTCTTTGAATTTTATACCAAATCCATCCCAGGCTGAACTGTTTACTTTTCGATTTTCTACAAAGTTCCTATAACTGGAAATGAATACTTCGGCAAATCGATTCAGTCCGCAGATTTGTGCATAACGTTCTCTGAGCTCGGGCTTTAACTTAAGAAACGTTTTTTACTCAGGAAACCAAAGAGAATAATATGTATTTGCTTGCGAGTGACTAGAATACTTATACTTTACGTGTTAAATTAAATTTTTCCATCAAGAACATAGTATGTAGATAACAAGTTTTATTTAAACTGATGAATACATTTTTTCTCAAAGTATGTAGTTTTACAAATTTAATATTACTAGTAAGAAATGATGCAATGCTTTCTGTACTTCAATAATAATTATTAAATTTATATATGTATATAATGTTTAGTATCTTATAAATATTTTCTTAAACGTGTTAAAAACTTATTTCGTGTTCTTAAGAATTGCATACTATTAAGGTGTTCACTATGAATCAGATTACTTAAGAACAATACCAAAGTCTTTAACATTCTACTTCTTTTAAAATTCTGCTGAATACCTGATTTTGACTTAAAGTAATATTTTTATTTATTTGTGATAAATTGCACGTGGGTTTGAATATTTTCATAAATAAAAAATAATTTCATGTGATTGACAAAAGAAACATGATGCATCTTTTACTTGCCATTTCGATGTCAATTTTGTACATATATAAAAAACTATAGAAGAGGAAAAAATCTCCTTTTTATCTTTTAAAATAAAGTCTTATTTAATTAAATACTATGAATATATTTAGTGATGTAGCAAGAATATCACAGAGAAAGTGATCAATTTTGATTCAGTGAAACGTTTATTTTTGAAAGATCACTTTAAAATATATAATACTGATTTCTATATTACAATAGAACACATAAATTTGCTTTGAAATGTATGGAATAAATCCATGCGAATAACGTGCATTATGTTTTCTATTTTTTCATAACAAAGGCACGTAGGTATTCACATAACCAGCCGTGACTTGATAAAATATGGAACTTGTTTACATTGCGTTTTCTATTCCATTAATTCCATAGAGATATCCTATCTACTTGGCCAATGGGTTTTCACTGTCTAGCTGTATAGCTAATCGTTAACATGATGACTAATTTCTTGAGATTGACAATATTTGGTTTTATACCAGCCAACTGTGGTAGTTGTGCCTTCCAAATTATACCGTATGGGTATAATGGATGTCTGCTATTCAATGCGTTCTATCCAACACCTAATGTTACGGATCTATAATTTTTAAATTTTATCACATTGCATCTGCATAGTAAGTAAAACAAACTGGAACAAACAATTTTTAAATTTGATTTTAACACTGCTACTCAGTGACAACTCTTACCTATTGTGATGCCTTCAGAGTTGCTATGGAAGGTGGTTGGTTGGTTGGTTGGAGTGGCGGCCTTGTATCCCAAAAAGCCCACTTAAGCACAAATAATGGCCTATTGTGGTACCACAGGAGTTACGTTGATTTGTATAAAGATTGCAATCAGTATACATTCAACGTCGAAAGAAAGGTAACGACTACCCTATTAGGTAAAGGAAAACCAACCTGACAGTTCTATGAACTTGGCTAGGTCCCTAACATTACAGGATGACAACTCAGTCAGGTCAGTTAGAAAAGGATATCCAAGGGTTTTTAATCTTCTTCTGGCTAGGGAAGGGCACTGACACATGAGATGGAGTACAGTCTCCTCCTCATCCTCAGAACCACAACCTCGACAAAAGTCATTAAAGGGGAGACCCAGTCTCATAGCGTGCCTTCCTATTACGCAGTGTCCCGTCAGCACAGATACCGTAGTGCTGAGCAGGTTCCGCCTTATTTGAAGTAGCTGACTAGTTCTTTTCTTGTCTAAGTTCAGCCAAATCAACCTAGAAATCTGACATTGAGGTTCGTCAGCCCAGTATTGCCAGTTTAACTGTAGCAAGTGGAATGCCTATATCAGAGGGGTTAATGTTGGGGAGAAGAGCACCTGCCTTGGCTAGGTCGTCTGCCCTACAATTTCCTGAGTTGTAATTGATTTGGCTGAGGTGCCAATCAGTGATCTGATGGCAGCTTGGCTATCAGAGAAAATTGAGATTGGAAAATCGGATGTTCGATTGATGGAAGATGACTTATATTGATCATTGTTTCCTTTATAACAAAGTGTGTTATCTTTCTTAAATAATTTGATATACTTGATGATAAGTCTATTTGACTCTGCCTGGCAGTCCATGAAAGAAACGAATTAACTAGACCAGGGTTGTCCAGACTAGATAAGATCGCAGGCAGATTCAAATCACTGAATAGGTTGAAGAGACCGCAGAAATATATACATACGTTCATAATTTTGTCGGAAAATAATAAAAATACGGCGATAATGTTAAATTTAGTTTTATTAATTCTTTATTAATTATTTATCTTTTACAATTCTATTCATATCAACACTATTAATATTAGTTATTGTCAAATGAAATATATTTTATTTTTTATGTAGTTAACTTACAGCACTGGATAATAATTTTTTGATCCAATTGTACAAAGAAATATATACTAAAGTCTTTGTCAGTTAAGTAAATTTGCCTAATTGTAGAAGTTTAGAAACATGTCGAGGGCCGCATGAGGCCCAAGAACCGCGCTTTGAACAGCTCTGATTTAGACTAATAGACAAAGACGTATAAAGTAATTGATGCATTATTTTTCATTTTAATTACAGTAGTTCTCTGCACGTAATTTCCATATAGCTACACGTTGTTTTGAACAGCTCTGATTTAGACTACTAGACAAAGATTACCTGATAGTCTTTTAATTAAACCTACCTAATCTATTAAATCTACCTGTTAATAAATCTACCGCCGTTATCTCTGTCAGGCTATTGAATTAGCAATCTCCAAGGCACTGTAGTAACTTCGGGGTAGTACTAGACAAAAGCATATAAAGTGATTAATGGATTCTTTCCCCACTTTATTATAGCCGTTCTCTGCACTCACTTTCTATATTATTTCTTTTTGAAAATGATCAAAAAGTTAATTTTTTTTATCTTTGTTTTACTTTTTGATTTTTTAAATATTTTTTGAACTATAAAAAATTATGATGCATTATATAGTGTATAGCATTCCATGCAGAGACACATACCATTGCAGAGATTCTGCAATATATATTTTTACAATCTTTGCAATTATCTTATGCACAATAGAGAATTGCACTTGATACTTCGCCACATTCCATTTTCTTACGCAATTTTATTTGTTTTTATAAGTAGATAATTGGTATAAATGCATACAGCGGCGTCAAGTTTGCTGTAATGCGATTTTATGCACTTTAAAAAAGAAAATTCACAGCATGAAATATTAAAAATGAAAAAAAAAATATATTTAATAACGGCACAATTTTAAATTAACAAAATGTCTTAAATGATGCAACCGCTGTAGATTGTTTGATGTTGGCGCTTTAAATGCGCTTCAAATGCGCTACTGAGAAACATAATTTGCGCATTCCTCAATTTAGTAGAGATACTTTTTAGCTGTTTGTTAGTAGGTAAATTAGAAGAAAAAACGAACCTATCAACACAAAACCCAATTATTTATAAATTTTAAAGCGTTATATACGGTTATGTAATTACTATATTTAAAACTCGAATTAACTCGTCTATAATCACATTGTGTGTGGACTCATTGCGCGGCTGAGTCAGTGAGTCAATCATTATGTGCGACTTGATCATGTGTATCCATCAAAGCTCTCACTTTTCCTTTACTTTTTCTTTTGCAACGATCAGTGGCCGACCGATCAGTTCAGTTCGCTTGTAAACACGCAGCTTTCTTCCATAGTTTAATAGTCCTAAGCACTAGTGTGGCTTTGATTTCATGCATGTTTCTGGTGCATTTTCGACGCATTTGCAAGAAGTGTGCTCTGCAATTCATACATACATGGTTTCTCGCTCCAAACTGCTTAAGCATTTATTATTTTAATTTTTATATGCAAAGAAAAAAAAACGCATTCAAGTATCTATAAGTGATATCTAAATTAAACTAATTCTCAATTTTTTTAATTTTTTATTTTCTATTCTAATATTGCTGTGTTTGGCTGGCCGCTGTTAATTTTGGCTTTCTTCATTTGTGATTTGTGATTTCACATTGAAATGTGAATTTCATTTGCGGTAAATTTTACTTAACATTAACTGCTTTTTTTTGCTACAACAACGTATTCGATATTTGTGTGTGCGGTATCTTGTCTATCTATCTATCCATCTATCTTTATGATAATAATTTATGCTGTGCTGTGCATTCATACATCAACAGTGGCTAAAGACCGTGACGAAAAACTGAAGTTAGCTAGAGAACGTCAAAATGAAGAAAGACAAAGAAAAATCGAGGAGCTCAAAGCTCAAGCAGAAGCGGCACAAAGATATCAGGAACAAAAGCAGGAAGAACGACGACGACGCATTGAAGAGATAAGAAATCGAGATTCTGAAAAACGTCATCAGGTCGAGGAGCGTAAACGTGCAATTATGGAAGCAGAGAAAGAACGTCGCGAATATATACTGAGGAAAAACCAGGTGGTTAGCTACATACACTAATAAATAGTTTGCAAATAAATTTTAAATATTTTCCCATTTATAATACTATGATGTAGGAACGCGAATCAAGATTGGAAACTAAAAAACGAGATAGAAATTCAATAGCTTTTGCGTTTGGTTCATCAACGCCACGTCTGTTGGATCCAGCTGATTATGGTACAGTATCGCCCAGTCAATTTTGGAGCCAACGAAGGTAAGTGAATTATATAATTTGAAATTACAGTAGACAATTGCTGTA